GCCGTGGTGGCTGACGCGGACAACGAGGAAGGGTTGTTCGTGGTCGCAGAGGTCGCACCGACGGCCACCCTCCTCAGTTCGGTTTTGGACAGTATGGTGGTCATCATCCACCAGCAGCATATGGACCTTACGGTGGGAGCCTCCTCATCCTATGGGACAGTCAAGTACAATTGTTACAGTAATTTGATTGCGTCATGGTATTATACTAATTATGCATTATCTACTTCTGTTACTAATCATGCATTTGCAGGTTCCCCATCTTTTGAGCATAGCTTTGGTACCATCCCTCCTCCTATTGTGTGTCAAATCCATCATTCTCCGGGTCATTCAACTGTCACTTGTTCATTTTGTCTTGTTCAGTCTCCAGCTCCTGCTTTTGCTGTCTGTATTGGAGAATCCACGTCCGCCGTCTGGTATCCTGACTCTGGTGCATCTGCTCATATGACTCCTCATGAAGGTACATTGTCTAATAAATCCTCTTATTCTGGATCACTTTCTGTTACGGTTGTTAATGGGTTCACGTTACCGGTTGCTCCATTTAAAATCTGTTTATCATGTTCCTCAAATTAATTATAATTTGATTTATATTCAAAATTTATGTGCCAAAAATAACAGTTTAGTGATTTTCGATAAAAGTTCCATTTTTGTAAAATACAAAATCGCGGGGGAGGTTCTACTTCGGGCTTCCGGTGACGGTGGTGTTTACCCACTCACTATTTCCACGCCTATTGCCCTCACCACTCATTTTGCACTTGGTCCAGTCTGGCATCGACGCTCGGGACATTGTGGAAGTCGTATTTTAGATAAACTTAGGAAATATGGTTCTATTTTGAGCACATCTACTTTTTCTCATGATTGTATTTCTTGCCATTTAGGCAAATCTCAATGTTTACCTTTTCAGAAATTAAAGTTTTTCATAAACCTACAACACCTTTATTTTTAATTCATTCAGATGTATGACAATCTCTTGTTTTATAAGAATCTGGTTTCAAATATTATGTTCTTTTTATTGATGACTATTCTTGCTTTACTTGGTTATTTCCTATGCGCCGTGAGGATGGAGTCATTCGTCATTTTCAAAATTTCAAATTAATGGTGGAAACTTTACTTGATCATAAAATTTTTTATGTTAAAGTGATGGAGGGGGTGAATTTGATAATATTGGTATACATACTGTTTTTTTTTATTACAAAATGGCATCTTATTTAGAAAATCTTGTCCTGACACTCCCCAACGAAATGGGGTCTCTGAACGTAAATATTGTCACCTTTTAGAATTAGCTCGTACCATGCTTTTTGAAGCTAATTTACCGGCTAAGTTCTGGGTTGATGCTGTTAAGACCCGGAGTTTCATACTAAAAGGTCAATCTGATAGGGAGAGTAATCCAAAGTCTTATATAATGTTTTATTGTTTTTAGCTTTCCGGTGTGGGACACATACTTTAACATGCCCCCTCAGTCATAACCGGGTTGGTCAATATTGGGGTGTATAAATGGGTCAAATAGATCCTTAAGAAGCTACCCGTAATCATGGGTGAAAAACAAGCAGTCAAACCACAACCGGAATTGGCTCTGATACCACGTTAAGACCTGAGGTTCCATCCTAAAAGGTCAACCTGATATGAGGAGTAGCTCAAAGTCTTATATAGTGTTTTATTATTTTATAGCTTTCCGATGTGGGATAAATATTTTAACAGATTCTATTTTTACTGCACCAGGTGGTGAATCAAGGTTGTTTCCTACTCCCCGTCCCCCAATTAAGTTCCTAGTTTGACTTCACACATATTTAGAAAATAAACTTACTGTGGGGTCAATTTTACTGTATAGTACACTGTGACACTGTTTGGCACTATTTGACACTGTTTTGCATTGTTTTGGCACTGTGTTCCGCTGTTTTGGTGTAAATTTATTTGCCAAATAAGGAAGTGTGAATTTCTTTGGAATATCCCAAAAAGGAAAGTGAGAATTTAATTGGGGACGTCGGGAGTATATAAATATATAATAAACAATGTACTTATGTACTTCGATCATGAAAGATGATGGTCTAGAGTCATTCATTTGTTTGCAATGTAGAGAGTCATTCATTTGGTTATCGGAATGAGCAAATGTTTTAATGCACGAGGAAAGTAATGCAGGGAAGGTGGGTGTAGTCCAATGGATGACCATCCACCCCCAAATCTCTTCTTTGTGGGAGGTCTTGGGTTCAATTCCCACCAAGGGGAGATGAGGGAGGTCTTGCTCCCAATGATTCTTCCTACATTCACGGAGTTGCTCGGTGGCTGAGAATGGAGAAGATGGTAATGAAGGTAGCGGGTTCGTGTGGTGGGAGGAGCAGCCTGAAAGGTGATGTAAGTCCTGCTGGATTCGTCCTTTGGAGCCAGTACTGACGAGGCTGACTGTGATCAGATCCGGATTTAACTGTCTATGTGGTTTGGGTCTGCATTTTTCACAAAGAAATTAGAATAAATTTCCCAAAAAGAATATAAAAACTGCTTGAATAAAAAATTCGTAGTTGTTCTCACACCGGAAATAAAATTCCGTGAAAGCTTTAATAACATCAGTCGTGAATCGCTTAACTTGCAAAGTAAACCATGTACATGTAATGTGAAAGATAATTTGTGTGAAAGTGCTATCTGTTGGATATACATACATTAATTTGTATATTAATGGATATATTTAATTTATATATATTTCTAGTAGATATTACTTTCACCCAAATATCTTCCTCACTAATATTTTATGTATTTGATAATAATTATTTGAATTTGCATAATAACGGTAATACTATCTTCCGTTCTTTAATTCCCTCCCCCGTTCTTTAATTCTTGCAACATTTTGACTTTCACGTTTGTCAACGCACAACTTTGACTGTAATTATATTTAATTATGTATTAGTAAACATTATAAAAATTTGATATTTTGGAAATTCACATTGATAAGCAAGTCGTTCAAGAAATCGAAAGCTCTACGGGGAAATCTTATAATGATAACATTTATGATGATATTAGACATATAGCAGCGTATTTCGCTTTTGTTGATGTCCAATATATGCCACAAGCAGCGAACCGGTGTGCTCATATACTAGCTAACAGAGCCGTTCTTCGGTCTGATTGTGAATCTTGGCTGAGAATTCCACCAAATTGTATTGCTGGTGTTCTGCTAGCAGATGCATCTTATTAATGATAAGCTGTTTTATTTGGAGCAGTGAAGACCAACTCCAAATTTGATTGGGTTCGTGCGACTGATCCGAATTGGGATGTGGAGACTACTCGTACTCAGATCGGTTTTGTTCGTGCCGTACCTTGGTCAAGAGAAGGAGGCGATCCACGGGCAGATCGAAGTGATGAAGGAAGAAGATAAAGGGATGAAAATCCGTCCCCCTCCCGAACCACCACCATGGATGAACTATGCGACTATGGTTTGGAGGACTGCTTCACTATTTCCAGTTTTTTTATTTTCAGTCCAGGCTATTTTACTATTTCTTTTTTGCTCTTTTTAGAATAAACAATAAGGGGGTAGAATGACGCTTTGTTTTGTTTTAGTTGATAGATTACTTATTGGAGGCAATCAGGCTGATTTAGCCGCTAATAGCCTCGCTGTTTTTGGGGTAGACTATTCTATGTCTGATCTAGGAGTGAGGGAGCCGTTAGACTCTTGGTCATTTTGGGATAGAGGGGTTACTTTATTGCTTTGCATGTTACCTTATTGTACTGCGAGCTTGATTTGAATATAATATGTTAGTTCCCTGTCAAAAAAATAAGTTTGAGAATTCTGTGGTCACTTATGATGGGGGTTAATCGGTTGAGGTCACTAATAGGTTTGGGAATTCCGTGATCACTAGCGGAGTAGAGATTAATCACTGACGGTCACAGTTGATAGCAGATTGAATGCCTTGTAGTCAATTTATGATGGGTTGAATGTCCACTAATGATGTCCACCGCCACCAGCGATGATATTTCAGTTATCAATAACTGAACCATGAAAACTCATTTATTGCAATCACTATTACTTATAAGTAATTATCTGCAAAATTACATACTACTACATACTTAATGACTATTAAATTCAGTGACTTATTGTAAAAAATTCTCTTACAACATATTTTCACAACTGAATATGTTATAAAAATATACTCCATATAAAAAGTATTTCACAATTAAATCAGTTATCACAATTATTCGAGAAGTTAATGTGTTTCTATTTTTTTTGCAAGTCAAGCCTTTGAAGTCGTTATGAGACTAGGAGCAACATAACCTACACTTTTCACATCCTTATTCCTTAATACAGTAGTAGCTAGTCACATTTGTGGAAAATCAAACTCCTAGTAACTTTTTTGTCTTTTAATATATTAATAGTAATATTCTTAAAAAAAGGCCTAAATTCAACCTGAATCGAGTGGCCTGATTATTTATATAATTCAATTAAATTAATTATTTAATTTAGGAAAAATTCACATGAATAATCTCAACTATTAGTGATGTGCAAATATTAATCTTTGAACATTATAGGCAAGAGAACTTTTGGGCAAGAACACTGTAGCTGGTTTTTTCAATAATTATAATTTTGGGCGGGCCCCGGGACGGGATTGGGTGGGACTGGGGTTTTGGGTTGCAAGCCCGGTACCGGCCGGGTTTGTATTATGACCGGTCCAGGTCCGGGTCAGGTCGGTCAATTTTTTATATAAAAAACACGGCTTTTAGAATTTATTCCTACCCCTCCCCACCCCCAAACCCATCCAAACCACCCAACCCCACCCACCTAGCAGCCAATGAATGGGGAAAAAATTGGACCGGTCCCGGATCGGCCGGGCAGCCTTTTTAACGTCCCGTAGCCCACCCACCCTTTACCTGGTTTGGGCCCCCAGTCCCGGTCCCAAGACCGCCCGGGCGGGCCAGGTCAGGCTTGCACAGTACCGCGCCGGGCCGGGTACTGAGTCAGGCCGACCCGTCTCCGTCCATCCATAGAGTGTACTAATCCCGATTTCAATTTTTGCAAAATAAAGGGAGCCGATAACTCAGATCAAACCAACACACGTGACACGCCGATCCTACTCTTTTAAAATTTACCTGTGCTCACCCCGAGCTTTAGGCATTCACTTTGGTGCATTTTGACAACCCACTTGTACAGAAAAATTTCCCCAAAGTAAAATAAAATCCATTGTTTTATTGTGTTAATCAATCGTCCTCCTCACTCTCATTTCTCGGGTCTTCATCATCAAACAAGTCTTCAGGAGGGTCATAGAGGGTCATAAATGATCATGCCTGGGAAGAGTCCTAGAAAGTCATCCTTAACCTTCTCTCTCAAATCGGGATAAGGAAGAAGCCCTTTCAATCATCCTCCTCGCTCTCACTTCTCAGGTCTTCATCATCAAACAAGTCTTCAGGAGGGTCATAAATGATCATCCCTGGGAAGAGTTCTAGAAAGTCATCCTTAACCTTCTCTCTCAAATCGGGATAAGGAAGAAGCCCTTTTAAAATAACTCGGTAAGGCAAAGATAGAGGGGGCTCAGTGGAGGTTCTCATTTCATCATAAACATGCATTGCCTCCTCAGGCAACCCACCATCCAAGAATGCCCTCACGAGGTCGCCGAATGTATGCTGGTCAAAAAGAACTCCCTCATTCTTCAAATCTTTCCACACCTTCTTTGCCTCGTCAGCTCTTTTGTTCCTTGCAAGCATCAGAAGCATATCCCTATAAAAAAACATATCTGGTCGATACCATATCTCCTTCCGCACCACCTCATACATCTGCATGTGGAAATGCATTCATTATAAATTTTAAAAATAGAAATAACACATGGACATAAGGATGCATTTTAGATTCTTTGCATCTTGCCAAGATGATGACAGCAATATCACTAAGTCACATAGCAGAAATTTACTTTACTTTTAAAAGTAGCATAAGAGTAGGAGACAGTTTAGTTATGTGAAATCACCAACGGAAAAATAAAATATGCACCTATTTCAAAATGTGACTTCGGCTGCACTCCGTTGAAAACTGTGACTGAACTGACTGAGGGTGTTGAAATTGCCTTATATGGCTGAAATAGCTGAATTTTCTAAAAGAGTTCCAAATACATTTTCTTGAAAAATTAAAAATAATAATGTTTAAAATGAAGGTGATGGTGTCATTTTCATTCAGTTTAGAAAAATCGGCAAAATGTGCTTTTTACACTAGCCCTTTGTTGTTGATCAATTCAGCCAGCATGGTAAAAGGGGCTCATAAGCAGATATAAGACATCACCAAATGAACACAAAACACCATCAGTCTTCCAGGAGTACAGCAATACAGCATAACAAGAAAAGCCTATTTGACTAAGATAATTTAACATCATATATGATTCAGCATTTCTGCGTGAAGGCATTACATTGAGCTTTACCAAACAAAAAAGTTCTTACTTTCTGCAACAAAGACTGATCAGGTGGAGTTTTTAGGAACCATGGAGGAGCTTTACTTGGTGAATTTGCTACTTCTGTAAACCTGTTTCTATTCTGGCACTTAAACTGAGAGCAGTGACTGAGGGGCCAAGCTTTGTGTATTTCTAAAGGTTTTAATCAATTTTTTTGTGGCAATAGATTCTTTGAGTGCCTATTCCATTTATAGATTTTGTAAGCCTCATTACATTGATTCTTGGAGTTGTGCTTATGATACAGAGACTGTTGGGCAATGCTCAATGAAGGGCCTTGATTCAGTGGGAACATACTTATTGGCAGATTTGGTTTTGCCAATCTAGGGTACAAAAGTCAGAGGAAAGGGCAGTAGACTGATATGCTTTTCTCAAGCTATTTGACAACTGATAGGCAAGCAGTAGAATGAACTAGCATGAATTTACACAACTTCATTTTAGTATTTCTAGAACTAGAACAAGAAGCGCACGGTCTGATCGCTTAATCATATTAACTGACATGTCAAGCCATTTTATTCAACTAAAGCTACACAGTAATAGAAAATAGTGATCGGAAATTCATTTATTTTCAATTAATAAAATCGTTAGAGAAAAAATGACGACTCCACATATAATGAGCGGGAAAATATTTCTTTCCTCCTTCTAAATCACTTCTCTGTACCTTCATGGAAAGAAAGACAAGGTCCTGTCTTTGGAACTCGGCGAGGACGGCGACAATATCAGATTTGAGAAGCCGAGATACCCTTGAGTTCATGAAAAGCTCGAGACGGATCGGGTACGGCTGTAACCGTTTGAGCTCCTTGGCCACCATTAAACCTTCTTTCCCAATTTCCTTCTTGCGCCTCCATATCGATACGCTGGGACTTGACGCTGCCGCATTCGAGCCGATGATGAGACGCCTGGTTGTGCCAATTTTGTTCGATGAGGACAATGGTGAGTAGGCGGGTATGGTTAGGCCTAGCGAGGCCCTCCTCAGCAGGCTTCCGCGATTACGCCACATTCTTGATACAGTTAACGATCATCAGGGCACTGCAGTGGTCGGCGCCTTGGCGTGGATTGAACGGCTTTATCGATTCGGGGGTTGGCGGTTGCGGGTTGCTGCCTAGCTTGCGGGATGCGTCGGAATGTCGACGGCGAATGGCGAAGGCTTCATAGTTACTCCGTTGGTTGCTGCCTGGTTTGTCCTTCGTTTATTTGGCCATTATTTTCTTTATTTTTCTTGGACTCGGTCTCGTGGGCTACTAATGCTTCTTTATTTGAAGCCCCTTCCCTGGGCGGCCCTGTTTTCTCAGTTTGACTTCACACAAATTAAGAAAATAAATTTAACTTTATTGTGGAGTGCACTGTTTAGCACTGTTTGGACACTGTTTGGCACTGTTTTGTTTCCTAAAATAGAAGTGTGAACTTAAATAAGGGGCATCCCAAAAAGGAAAGTGTGAACTTTAATAAGTAGTGAGTAGAGAGTTTATACGACTTTAGGCATCTTGTAAAGTAAGAAAAATTTGTTAGCACACGTTTTCTACACACTTTTCTGCACGCCTCATTGTTTTACATGCGTAAACAGACAATTCGTATGTAATTTTTTTGTTTTTTTTGTGTGTGTGAGGAAAATGTAAAATGTACAATTTTTGAAACTTTAAAAATATCTTTATACAGAGATAAGTGTGAAATACATGTACAAAAATTCATAAGGTTTTGATTCGAGAGAATTTATGTTACAATTTCATTAAAATAAAATAAAATAAGTTTTTTACTAATATAATTTTACAATTTCAAAATTTCAGTAAATGAAATAAATTGAATAAGTAAAAGAATTATTTACTAATTAAGTGGTATATAGTTCTATAATATACTCCCTCCGTCCCATTTTAGTTAGCCAAACTTGACTTTTCAAATCAATGACGTCTAACTTTCACCGATTATATGTTTATATAGAGAAAGTATTAATAATATGAAAATGATATGAAAATGTTCTTTGTTAAAAATACTATCATAAAGTATAAAATTATTAAATTTTGCATAAATATATTAAGTTAAATAATTGGTCAAAGTTTATCACATTTGACTGGAAAAATCAAAGATGGCTAAATAAATTGAGACGGAGGTAGTATATGTATATATAAAAAGTGAAAAATAACATTTTTATGGGGTACTGAAAACGCAACATTCTTATCGGGTACTAAATAAACAACATTCATTATGAAGTTCTCTTAAAAAGATGAGAAGGTTTTTCAACAACGCATACAGAGTATTAGTTCATGAACTAGTTTTGTATGCATGCATTGTGCGATGGAGTAAATGCCCAAAACTAAAGGTATTAAGTTGAAATTAATTTTCTGTAGATGTTTTTTGGGATGATAGTGTATTTTGCACACACAATATTATTATTTGTTAATAAATATACTTTATGAGTTCTACTAATAATGCAGGGCAAGGGCATATCGGTATTGATGCTTGTACCGGTGAAGAGACTTTTGAGGTATGTGATGACTTCGGTGGAGCAGAAGGTATGAGTTACTAATTTTGTTATGTTAATACGGAAAGTGAGTCTGTATGCGAGATAATGCAATAGGGTGGGCTAGGACATATGATTTTATTAATGTTGTATTGTATATAGGGATTAGATGATTTCCTTTCTATGGATTTCCCATAATATCCCTTCAATATATGTAAAAGACTAGTTTATAGTTGCAAAGTGGAATCTGGTTTGTACGGACTTTTCATAATATATGTTGTATTTGTGTGCATAAGTTATGTTTGATGAGAGTATATGTTTTCAGGGTACATGGGAAAATTTAGCCCATAAAACTGATTTTTATACCGTAAATGACTAAGACTGACTAACTCGTGCGTGAGCCTGATCGGCTACAAGAAGCAAGAGGCTAAAAATAACAGAGGCTGTAACTCTATAAGAGAGCTGTGTGACCCGCGACCACCCAACGCTCACTTGGTGGTCATCCAGGGCTCTACTAATGACCACTCAGACTCTAGCAGGACAACAAGGGGATGTGCTTCCATAGAGATAATATGAATCACACAGGTAACTATTGCAAATTTTGAGCTATTTTGTGTACATGCGTATAACTGATTGTACATATATAGTAGAGATCTTGTTATAAGGAGCATTTTTGTTGTAGAGATCTGGTTATAATTGAACATATATTTTAGTTATGCGGAGCATTTTGTTTGTTTTTTTGTGGTAGCCACACATTAAAGAGCCGTTTATTTTTCTTATATGTTAGTCTAGATTATGTTTTGTTTTAAGTACAACATGTTGAGTAAAAAACTATGGAACTGTTTAAAATTTGTTTTAATGGTATAGTTTATCGTCAATGTTATTTGCAGATTGAATGGAGTGAAGCAAAATCTATGAACTTATTTAATAATGTTTTTAATATGGTATACTTTATCGTCAATGTCACAAAGCCTTTTGTAACATTTTATCTATCTAGTGTAACATTTTACAGGTGTTACAAAAGGCTTATTTTGTTGGTTAACATTAATGACACTATTATGTGTCGTAATCATGCGCGCTGAATGGTATGAACCCTTCAACAAAGTGCATTACAAGCATTTAATTTACTTATTTATTGTTATTGTAAATATTTCAATACTGGAGAGTTGTAAGAGTTCGAAAATAATTTATTACAAGTTATCTACTTTCTCCTCAAATTCATAGTTCTGCATTCTCTCTTAAATACCACTAGCATTTGTGATATAGCTATGAGATAGATTCTTTGTAATTTAAAGAGGGAATAACAATCAAAGAAGAAAAATAATAAGGGAAGAGGAGAAAATATAAAACGAGTGAAGAGAAGATGGGGGGAAATCCGGAGTAAAAGTAATGCTCGATCAGCAAGAACTACTTTAACCAAATGGATGTACTAAAAAAATGTTTGATAGCGGATGCTAGGCGTATGCCTAGTCTAGGTTTTGTGGCGGCGGCGTTCCTAGGCTTTGAGGCTCAACACGTTGTTCGCAGGTTTAAGACAAGCAATTCACATGGCACTTTTAGGCAATATTGGGATTGAGATGACGTTTCTTCCACAATATCAAGGCTATACAGTGAATGGGGAAGGCTACGGCCTAGGGTTTTGGGTGAGGCGACTTTCGTTCGCGAGGACTTGGGCGTGATTACTTGGTCTTCAATGGAGAGCAAGGTGCGATGGAAGGGCATAGGTATCCCTAAGAAGCAGAGATCAAGAAGCAAGGAGAGCATGATGATCAAGATCTGCCATTGGAGGAGGAAGGTGAAGAGTTATTGGTGGGGATTGGGGAGTCCTCCTAAACAGTCGCCATGGGTTGAACGTGGTGTTGGAATTCAAGAAAGATATCCTATAACAAGTTGATTATAATGACAAAACTTTTTATATGCTGATATGGTTAGTGTTATATGTGTGTAATGTTTGATATTTATTATGTAATAAGTGACAAATTATACAGAAATTTACACAACTTCCACTAGCTCCACACATCTCAGAAATGATACTATTCCCCTTAATTCAAAAAGGTAGGCGTCTCCCCCCTGTCTTTTTTTGTGAAATGAAAATCGCCCATATTTATATCATTAGTTTCAGAATCGTTACATCGATCAAAGAAAGATCATACCTGACATCAACTAAACTCTACCAACTACGATTGTAAACCCTATGGTTAGACATAGAAACGGTCACCTATGAAAGATCAACATGAATCACTAACCATGAAACGAGTTCGACACAACTATCACTGCTCCTATAGATCCGTATATTTCTAACCAGTGGTGGAGCCAGAAAAACGGCTCAGGGGGTCAAAACTCAACCTGTATACAAAATGAAGATGGTGGATCATTTTTAAACAAATGTCCGAGTTGAATATTTCATGTGCAATTTAAATAAATAGGCACTCGTAACAATAAGATAAATTGTTTTTACTCTGTTTCTAAGTTGTGTCTAGGGCAGAGCATGGGTCGAGTTCGGTTGGGTCGGGTTCAAAAATGCTAAATCCGTTCGAGTATCAGATTAATAATTTCAAACCCTACCCTGTCAAAAAATTTATCGGGTTTTTCAGGTTGAAGAAATTCGGGTTACGGTCGGGTTGATACGGTTTTGAGGTCCATTCGGATTTTAATTTATTACTGTTAAAATTGTGATAAATAAAATGGTAATTGGTAAAAATATCATTCAAGTTATACTAGTATAACATTCAAAGTAATAGTTGTATAAATACGGTAATCGACATATTTGAACATGTAAAATAATAATATACGGTGATTGTCATATTTGATATTGTGATAAATAAAATGATAATTGGTCAAAATATCATTTAAAGTCATAACAATACAACATTCAAAGTTATAGTTGTACAAATACGGTAATTGGAATATTTGAACATTCATAATATGGTAATTGGCATACAATAATTTAGATATTTTAACATGCATAATAATTCAAAGTAGTATATATATATTATATACTATGCTAGTTCGGTTTTTCGGGCGGGTCGGGTATCATAATTGGTAACCCTACCCCCTACCCGCTACCCGCTTAAGTCTCGGATTGCAAGAATCAGATTGAGGTTGGATATTTCGGGTCGGTTTTCCGACCCCAACAAAAAAATCGGATATATCCGACCGAGTCAATCATGTACGGTCGGGTTTTCTCTCCCCTAGTCGTGTCACGTAAATATTGAGTAAATTATAACCTACTTCTAAAATTTGGAAAAATAATATGTAGCATGCATTAAATTTTGTTGATTTTACGTTTAGACAGTGCTGATTTTCCAGAAGTCATAACTTTTTACTTGTAATGAGTCAGAGGGGCCATAATATATCATATTGAAGATATTTCAGAGCTCTATACTCTCAAACCTTCAGCGGGGTCGGCTGACCACCCTGACCCCTGGCTCCGCCCCTGCTTCTAACGATATAAAAATAAGATAAATTACCAATCATCCCGACAAACCTAGCAACATAGACTTCTACAAATTTTATTTGATAAAGGTTTGAGAGAAATAATTTTAATCATGTATTTATTACTTTAATTAAAATGACAAATTATCGATGATTAATAAATAGAGAAATTTAGTAAAATTTATGTGACGAACAAGGTATATGTAACGGGATTACAAAATTATTCCAAGCTAATGACAATACTACTAGTCTACTACTATTTGATAATAATAAGAAATAATAACCCGTTTCTTACTTATGACTTTTCAAATTCCAAAAGTATGATCATTTTGTATTTTTCCAAAAATCTGAC